TCATTTAGGACATTAATTCGAGTTGGGGCACTTAAACTAGATGTGTGAGATATTATTGATCTTTTTGGCCATTAAATGCATCTAAATGAATTATATTTCGAACTTCTTGTTCGAATGATCTTTTGCAAGGATTTAGATGATGCATTTGTACATTATTTTCAGTTTCTTAATTCCCCCCTCTAATGCTGAGATACTTGTCCAATCAAGTTGACAATTACTTTCATTGCGTTATAAAATATTACCCAGGTTTAAACTACGCGTTTATTCTTAGCATTCTTTACTTTCCATCTCAGTGCATTGTAGTCTATCAATTTTACTTATACTGCACTATCAAAATAATTAGATGAAAAAATTAAGCTCTAGCCATAAGTCAATTATAACAGGGAGAATTATGATGTTAACATGACACGCAATAACATTCTCTAAACATAAATGAGAAGTATTTTGTTCTCAATGAAACTAATTTGAGATGTTTAACAAGAAATGGTGTTAAATCATTTATCGACATCCTAATTAACAGTTATTAAATGTTGAGATTTATGTTCACTAGCATTAACAAGATATACCATTTTTATTGCATAGTTTGATTATGCTTATAGTAAGTTTATTCTTTCATATCACACAATATGGACTCTTCTGGAGTCTCAAAATAATATTCTTTAGAAATATTGATATTAATAAACTATTACTCATTTAGAAGTAATTTAATTAAAACTGAAATTCTTCAGGATCAATGCAATAGTTACATTGAAATATTTAAATTTTGATTATTAAAAAATAACCACATAATATTCTTCAAAAATATTAATAAATATAAATTGTATTTCTTTAAGAGCAACACAATATTCTTCAAGAATATTGATTTGTATTAATTAATTCAAGCAATTCTGCAATATTTTTTTGGAATATTCAAATGTTTGAATCGTATTTCGTTTCATATAAAATAATATCATGCTATTCAAGAGTAATAGTATATTATTGTTTACAATAATAAATTAGAATATTAATGAGAATCATAATGTGTTATTTCGAAAGAACGTTATATTTTATTATTATTTTTTCTAAAGTAATTTGATAATATTCTTTTGAAATATTGAAAATTATAATTCATGCTATTCATGAATAAGTAATGTTACTCTAGAGTATTAATTATAATATTGCGCAACTTTAGAAGTAACAACGAACTATTATTTCGAAATATTAGCTCTTCATGGGCCATATGTCTGCTTCTCAAGGGCAATATATCAATATTCTTCTGGAATGTTGAAAATTATAATTCGTCATTTTACCTAAAAATCGATCAATACTCTCCTAAAATATTGAAATTGTAATATCATGCTATGCTGGATAAATTAATATTCTTTTAGAATATTAACAATGTTGTACAATTTCAGGAGCACCAACAAACTATTATTTAAAAATATTAACTATTTAGGAGTACATTTCATAGCATAATATAAATTATTTGCATAGTTTTGCCTTTTCAGGAGTAACAACATGATATTTAAAGTTTATAAACGAACACAAAAAATATTTAATCACATTGTGATAGGACAATAACAAATTATATATATCAATACCATAAAATAATATTTAATCAATTTATGTAATCACAATTTTTTTCATATAAAGATAATAATTTACATCGTTAGTTCCATCACATAATCACAAGATAATGTTTACTTTAATTTTATATACAGTTAAAACTATTATAAAGCATTACTTTTAACAATTGAAGTGTTTAATGAGACGTAAAGAAATTCAATGGAATGGGCATCCAAATATTTATTTACAATTTTATTTTTTTACACAAACCCCATGTAACTAAATTTTAATGGAGGAAAGCAATGATTATGTTACAAGACATGCATGCAAATTTCGTCATAATATTCAAGTAAACGACAAACATTGGGGATTTTCTAATTGAGTGTAGTTGTAAATTCGGGTGCTGAGACGTGTAATATTGAATAATCACAATGTGCAATTGGGAAAAACTTTAGTGCTGAGAGTTTCGATCGCTAATTATTTTTTTTAAAAAATAGTAATTAGATAAAATTGTTCGTGCTGATAACGTGTTATGAAATTTTAAATGAATAAAAAATAAATATAGAAAATAAATAGATAGATAGAAAAGTAGAGAATCAAAACGCAAGTGTGTTTTATTGGAAACCGATGCCCCATATTCATATGGTTCGTAATAAGAGTTATAATTGGAATGAAATAGATCTTCCAGATTATATGAGACTTATCTACGTATCATGATAATATTAAATAATTATCAATAATTATCTCATTATTGTACAACAATTCTTACCTTTTTATTGTTGTTGTGTTTGATGTGAAACAAAGTTTTGTTTAAAAAGTGTAAATGTTCAATTATTTCATCTCCAATTTCAATTTCATTTTTCACCTCACGGGTTTCGGTTTATGATTATTAATATTATAAGAATGGTGCAGAATTTGACAGTATATTTGGAGTAGGTGTCTTTAGTGTTGGCATTTAGTTTCTGGTGATGGCTTTATTTTTTAAAGATTCTGCTTGGTTAGCTATTTTTTGTAGTGATATCATATTTATTTTGCATTAGAAAGTGATACATTGTTACTCTTTTTAATTAAAAGATTACACGACTTTTTCTAAAAGAACATTTTTGATGAAGCTTGAAATGTTCTTATGAGAACTTTTTAATCAATATATAAATCTTACCCCGTTCTGTTTTTTGGTTGGATATGAATTAAGATTTATGTATTTAAAAAAGTGACATAGCACGTTACTTTTTAATTAAAAAGTCACACATTGTATAACTTGACTCCGTAAATTTGATAAAAATGTATATATGGAAATTTTTTTTTGTAGATATGGATAAAATTAATATTCTTATCTATCATAGATTTTAAAATGATCAGAATCGTTTTCCATGTCTAAGTTACATACAATGAATT